CATTTATTCTCACTTTGCATTATTTGTGTCAGACCGGCAGACGCTCAATGATTTTCTTTGTACGTTTATGTACGGGTTTTGTTTGAACAAATGCTCGCAATGCAACGGAGAAAGGAAAGCGACTTGCCATCGGTGACGATAATTAAAGAATGCTTTGCTAACGTTCTAAAACATATTCTAGGTACGCAACGCCACGTTTAACGGTAATAACAAAAAACACTCCTTCGCGGTTAGCTTTGCTTGCAGGGCACTCTACTCGCAACCAGAAGACAACTGTTCGAATCCCAACAATTCCAAGGATGCTATTCGTGCTGCGACGTATGCATAAAAGAAAGACACGCCATCCATTGCTTTTCAGAACTCAATATTAAATAGCCAAAACGTGATGTACATACTAGCAGACCAGACGAGGCCGGCATTCCGAACACTTATTCCTTCCGCCAAAATAATGCGTCGCCTCAATCCCTTCGTAAAACTGTGATCTGGCACATGAAAACATGCACGCCAGGGAAGCGATACTTGTGACTATCTAAGGCAACGTCGTCAACAATGTAGACACTGACCAATGAAGAGCACGGAATCATAACAATAAGCAAATGCTATAGACAGAGGCGCTTCAAATCTCACAATATTACAATCTCACAATAATCTCACATATCTCACTGTTACGAATATCCTCTTTACGACCATCGTCCACTGGTGAATGCCTACACTGAGGCGAGAAAGCACGCAGTATAGGCGATGCGTAACGCACCAAAATAGATACATCTCATACCAAACCAAATTCGTTTGCCGGAAGTGTCATCAACCAAACGTCAGCTCATCATCAGATATAAAGATAGGTCATCGGACAATAACAGTTGACTTGCATTTTAGTTGTAATCCTGCACAAATTCATAAATTTAAATTACTTTTGCGGTCAGGAAATCTTAGATGGTCTGTTCATGCTGAGTCGATAACTTTTCCGTTACTCCATGAATTCATGAAGGTATTAGTTGGTTGTAACATGTTATTGACGCGATTATGTCATCCTTGGGACAAAACGCGTGCATGCGTGCGCGCAAAGCACAAATGTATTGCGCAGTAAAAATGTGGTTGATATTCCTGCCTAGATGACATGCTTGAAGAGCCCACTTTCGGCCATTTTCCAAACAGTCTGAGGTCACAAAGGATCATGCAGCTTTGAAATAGCAATGTTTTCGGCATGTTTTCATGGTATGAAAGTGCTCTGAAATGATTTAATGGTGCATTAGCATTTGGGTTGGATTTTGTAACAGGTTTTCCATGCAAAACGAGATCATAATATCTTCTAAGCTGCGGCTAGATGGCAGCTTAGAGGAAATTATGCCATCGCCATTATGCCATCGAAATTTTGAACGGTATGGCACTCGCACAGGGATTGTATTACAACGAATTTGTTTTAAAGATTGGCATGTACCTCAGGTAAACACAAGCATATGGTGTTATATCACCCCTAGCCCGTTCGTACATCAACGTGCTTTAATTGTGCAGCGTGACCTACGGCCACGGGTATCAGCAGGTGTACTCACTCCTAACAAGGGTGCACCAGCTCATAATTAGCAGATATACCTGCTCCTGATCAGCAGGTGTACCAGCTTCTAACAGGATGTACCAGCTCCTAACAGTGGTGTGCCAGCTCCTAATCAGCAGGCGCACCAGCTCCTAACAAGGGTGTTGTTTCCTATTCAGTTGGGGGGCTTTACCCCTCCCCCACCACCATGGGCTTCAGCCCCATCCCCTAACTTCAGGAAGAAAGTGGGCAAAATGCGACGAGAAACCTGTTTACTGGCATACTTCGGAGGCAGTTTGAGCCATTCCTCACTGTTCGACCTCCACAACTTATGTTGTGAAATTACTCCCCTGCACGCAAATGCCAGTAAAGAGCGCGGAAACATCATATTTGGGGAATGCGTTGCACGCTTAACCAAACCCAAAGCTATTTGTGAACCAGCAAGAAGTATGGATCGTGTTCTTGCTGCAAGTGGCTTTATGAGACCGTAATTATTCCACTCCAGCATATCACTAGGCCTCCATTGGGCGAGGACTTCCTGAACCGGGCTCGCTGCAGAACTCCGCCGAGACCACTTGCGTCGAGTTCCGACGAACCTTTTACGCTGTTGCCCAGACCTTTAACGCTGCCGGATCGACTGTCTCTCGAGCCCACCACTGGACGTCCAATCAGTTTCGAAGGCGGCGGGCCGCTGTCGATCACAGCGCCCGCGGGCGCGACGGCGGAACATTGGCGAGCGCCCCCAGCTCCCCATCCGTCGAGCCGAGGGCCCGCGGCGGCTCCAATCACGGCGCCGATCGCACTGCCCGCTGACGGTCGCTCAAGCTTGACACATCGACCCCCGCGGCCAGGCACGCACGCGTGCCATTACGTGCGCATCTTTGCATTCGGGAGTGTGCGAAGATCTGATGCAGGGGTGGGGAAATGTGACGAATTGGTGAACAAGGTCGGCGACAAAAATATATGTTTTCATGCGACGCTTGGTGCCAACAAATGCTTTTGACTTATCATTTTGGTGATGACGACAGAATGTTGGAGCGCGCACTGCAAAGCCCAGCATGAGGCTTCCATGGTTATGTACTTTGTCACACAACGCCAGCAAGTATTTCCGTAAAGACACTTTACAGTATCATATTGCACCACAGTATCCTTTTTAGGTGTCATTCCATCCCAACGACAAAAATATTCTATGATTTTTAGGTGGGAGCGCGACTCGGTGATCACCGGTGACAAATCAGTGTATTTTTAGGTTTGGCAGGTTTCTTTCCTATCTACCTATGTTAAATTTTTGGATCTTGTTGTATTCTCTGGTAATACTGCGATTCAGCATACTGACCTCAGCGACGAGAAGCATTGGCGGCTCAGGGAAAGTGAGCGAGGTGATTCGATCGAGATAGAAAGTGACCTGTGGTTATCCAGACTTCCTTTCCAAAACAACAACAAAAACGCTATGGACTCAACACTGTTTTGTTCGCATTAAAACGACAACTATTCCCAGTTTACAAATCTTGGCTGCTGGAAGTCGACATGATAGCCAATTATGTAGGCAATGAGAAGGCAATGATGAGTGAGGAGTGAGGTTGCGCAATAAATGCAGGCAATGGGGGGGGGGGGGAGGTAGAGGTTCCATTGCCATCTCTCCTAAACCAAGAGACGCGCTTCAAATTTCCTTCAGATTTGCTCATTTGCTTCGGATTTTCTCAATGAGGTTTGCAGGTTATGTTCGTTTGGTCAAATAAGCTTATACAAAGTCAAACTCCAGATTGGTGTCCAAAGTGATCCACACGCCTTCTCATGCCACCACCGTGAGCTAAATACCTGTTCTAAACAAAATGTCACTGGTGCTCATATAAGGTCAGTGACCTTGTTCGACCCTGAGAGGGTCATGGATACCAAACCGTCGCGCTGTTTGGAACTCATTGTGGAAAAAAAACTTTGGGGATCATTTTACCCCTACCCGAGCGCGTGTTAAGTGCAGCCTGCATTCGTAGTGTAAATCAGTGCAGTTCGTCTGGTGGAGGCATCATGGCAGTGGGATAACTTTTATGCATGATTCGAGGTTGAAAGGAGAGGTAGAAATCCATGGGCCTCACAGCCTTCCCTCCTCTAAGCGTGTTTGTCAACAGATTTAGTCTGCATTGTTTTAATGACGGTCGAGTTCTTTGCTTAAGTTGCTTGTCTTTGCTGTAAAATCCTTTGTTTGAGCAATTTAGTGGTCAGAGCGAATGATGCTCAGAAAAGACGAATTAATGTTATTTTAGCTTTTTCTTTTTGTTGATTTGTTGACATTCTCCCAGACAAAAAAAAAATTGGAGACAAGCATTGAGGCGGCCTATGTCGACGTTGGGGTAGGGTGAGACCCCAGAAAATAATTTGAGTTGATGTTCCTGCATCATGCATGACAAGCATCGCAGGTAATTGAAATTTGCTTGCCTCTTATTGCGCCGAGAGTCACTTCGGCTTGCTGATTTAATTGGTGCCAAGTTAAGGATGTGTGTAATGGAAGGTGTCATCCTTGTAGACCTATCAGCTGATTTTCTCTATGATGTGAAATGCGGATTGTTCCGACGGAGCGCGTAAAATAAATAACGGAGACTGATCACCAAAATGATTAACCCTCACCCTGATTCCTCGGTTTTCATATTGTGGACGATGGGAGGGAGACCCCCTGTCATTTCGAAATTAAAGGAAGGTAGTATCTTGCAAAACAAAATTGGGCTGTTCTCAGCATAACCTCGCGATTATAATAAGCGCGTGCTGTTAATCGGCCCCAGTAGACCAAATCAAAGGCAAAATTTTCTGGGAAGTCAAACTCTTTGACCTTAGCATGCTCGTAGGTACAAAACCATGCCGCGGAGCGACATGGGACATAAACAATCGCGTATTCCTTGCTTAAGTGTTAGTGTTTTGGTATGAAGGTGGATATGTTTGGACCCTATATACACCAAGTAGGGCTCCGTCAGCAGCAGCAGCAGCAGCCTCACACTGCCGTGGTCATGCCGCAGCTTCACACTGCCGTGGTCATGCCGCAGCTTCACACTGCCGTGGTCATGCCGCAGCTTCACACTGCCGTGGTCATGCCGCAGCTTCACACTACCGTGGTCATGCCGCAGCTTCACACTGCTGTGGTTCTGCCACAGCCTCACACTGCCGTGGTTCTGCCACGGCCTAACTTTGCCGTGGTTCTGTCGCAGCCTAGTGCTGCTGTGGTCATGCTGCAGCTTCACACTGCCGTGGTCATGCCGCAGCTTCACACTGCCGTGGTCATGCCGCAGCTTCACACTGCTGTGGTTCTGCCACAGCCTCACACTGCCGTGGTTCTGCCACGGCCTAACTCTGCCGTGGTTCTGTCGCAGCCTAGTGCTGCCGTGGTCATGCTGCAGCTTCACACTGCCGCGGTTCTGCCGCAGCCCCACACTGCCGTTCCGTGGTTCTGCAGCAGCCTAACACTGCCGTGGTTCTGCCGCAGCACGTGAAGCGGCGACGCGCGGGGGCGCGCCGGAGGCCGGCGCCGGACGGCGCGTCAGCCTCACCTGGGGCCACCGCGTCCGCGGCTGCCAGCGCGCCGCGGCGGTGACGGTGGCGCCGACCCCGCGGCCCTCACTGCCGGGTCGGGCCGCCGCGTCTGGTGTGTCGAGGGCCGGCCTGGGCCGCATCGCCGCTGACAACCGAAGCTGGGTAAAAGTCATATACAGATGATGCAAGTTAATATGAGCGGCAAGGTGAAATAAAAGCATGGACTGAATGGCCTGGCTTTCCACGTATGTCATTCTATGTATGTTTAGGCCTTCTAGGTGAAAACTGCGCACACCGTGTCAGTCAAACTTACATGAGAATTTGTGAACCGAGCGCTGTGTGCATAATAGACCGAAATGGAAACACCTGATCCTATTCAGCCATGCTCGTTAAAGAGTGGTCGATACATGCAGCGTGCTCGACCTCGCTCTTCATTGCGTTGCGGAAATCAACAAACTTATGTAGCGTGTGTGGAGTGGGTGGGTGGGTAATTGACAAGCTTAAGCATGGTGCGTACTGCTTGGACTAAAATAATGATTGCTCGGTGTGTGTTCTGCCGATAATCTTCCATGCACGTCCGCATTGTGCAGACGAGAGTTACTGGCATTGCGACTTCTCTCAAAATAATTGAATATTCTGTTTTTTATGTTGTAGCTGGTATTCACCCAGTCTATGCTTTACTAGCTATCTGTGGTAGGAAATGCGCTCCTAGCAGCCGATGGATCATCTGTTTGAGGACACAAATCCTAAAAAATAAACGACTTAGATCCCGATGTGTATTTAAATTTCGGATGACAAAAAAGATGGGACTGCATGGCACACCGATGCGTGCCCATTGGCCAAAGTTTGCGTCGATCTGCGTCTGGAGCTCGGAGAGAACACATTTGGATCCCATTTCGGCCACAGCGGCTCCAACCAGCTGACACGCGGACCTCGTGTGAAGAAGTGGGCCTCGAAATGAGATCTGAAGAGCCGCTACCCGCCCTCCTGAGGCCGCAATCTCTCGCTGGCGGTCAAGTGCGTTTCCGAGCCAAGTTTTCCATTTCAGACACGTCACACCCCAGATCAAGTCATATCTACGAAAATATTGGAACAGCCCAGGGTTCTGAGCTGAAATAGCCACTTTGAAGACGATTCGGTACAGCTCACAGCTTTGTCCTTCTGAAGACATAACCCCTCTATTTTCTGAGCTACACGCTCGCTAAGATGAACGGGCTTTGACCTGAGCCATTGATTCAGAGCCAATTGACGACCGCCGTGTCTGGAAATCATTTATTCACGAACGCCATGTACGAACGACTCGATAATATATTATTCTTGGCCTTGGTCCCTGCATGGACAATGGAATGGCAACATTGAATGCCGTTATTATGTCGTCATAAATGCCTAGGTGACCTTGAATTAGTCTGCTCGAAATTGTCTGCGCATCTCCGCGGGATTGTAACTTAGAAACTAGAGGGGTTTAGGTTTCAGTAACGGCATGGGTGGTAACTGCACAAGTTGTTTTCTAGTTACCCAAAGAACAGGTAACCAGGAGTGCCCCTCCCTCAATCCCAGCGGCGCAATAAACCGTACGTTAACACCAGAAAGCATAAAATCAAGTCGCGGCACTCCCAGCTAGGAAAAGGAAATACACGTGAAGAAGCGGGCGAAGAGGTGGCGCAGACCCGAAGGAACTGTGTTATGTGATGGACATGGAAAATCATACATGAGAAGGCTTGAAGTAGTCATTAGCCAAAGTCAGCTAGTGACAGCCCGCTATAACCATTCATTCAGCTACAACCACTCATTCACAGTGTTAGTAAGGGTTGTACGGTCATACCAGCCGGAAGGGTAATTACCTGGTCATTTTCGTGCTGGGTTTTGAGCTGGACGTCCAGGGAGTCCACCCAGCTAAGTGGAGCTCGTTGCTGGAAGAACTCCCGGAGCCAGCGCCATGAATTGGGTACATGTGCATGACTAACTATATCAGAACGTGATTATGGAGCACGAAGGAGGTTAAATATGAAGTGCGTTACATATGTGTAGCGCAAAGGATTGATATCTTCAAATATGTTGGTTACGTTAATATGTATTCACGAAATGCTTGTGGATGATGTTCTCAACGATGGTTTTTGACGCAGAGATATCAGTTATTCTTAGCAAGTATGAAAACATAATGTCGTTCCACAGCTTAGGACCCAGGCAGGATGTAAAAAGTCTGTAATTGCCATTAGAGAAAGTTTGGTCTAAATGTTTCATTCGCCTTATATCCATGTCATTTGATTCCTAGAACTTACATATCAAATCGAATGATACAGGGAGCTGTGAAGTTACAAGTTTGTGCATCCCGATTGACAGTCGGGATTTAGCGACATCCGATAGTTTCAAAATTTGGTATCGTTTAAAGGTCGGCTGGGAGCTTTATGGAGAATACACATTTTGTATTAGACGCACAACCATTTTTGCAAAATTATTAACCGATCTAGTTCAGGAGCATAATTTACACCCCAAAAGAAACAGCAGTAATTTAGATGAGGAAGAATTAAAATGTTACAGAGTAGATGTTGTTTTTTATCAATGAAGCACCTAACCCTTCTTGTGATTCCAATATTTCAATTTAATATGATTGCAACACAATTAATGTGGCTTGTAAATTTAAGGGGTTTGTTGATGAGTTCACCAAGATATTGAGTATACCAAGTACATGAGTAGCAGCACACCAAGGGTTGATTTAAAAGATGCCCGTTTTAGTTTAAAAAACTCATACAAATGTGAGCACCCCTTTTATGAAATGTACAAGTACAAGCGGGGTGTCACTTACTTTTGTATGCATGCTTACTTTTACGTCAAATGCACACTTTTCTAGGTCCTCAGCCCCCCCCCCCCCTCCACACACACACTTTCCCGCCCACTTGAGCTCCCTCAATGCACTTTCGTGCTCCCACACATGCGAGGAAAAATGGGAATACCAGGCCAATGAAATGTGCAGCAGGTTTTTGAACAGCTGGAACACAAGGTAACTAAACACATCGCTATCAGTGTAAACACCACTATCATCAGATGCCATCACGATCACAGCCACACCAGCTCTAAATGAGATGTCACTCATCAACATCAAAGCAATTTTTTGAACCGATCAAACACTTTTGTAGAAGTATTATTTTAATTTTAGCATCGGGACCAAAACCCAATTTTTTCCAAATCAGGTGAAAAACTGGGATCTGGGGGCAGCGTAGCTCAATCTATTAGTTCAACACCGTCCCCCTCCCAGCCGGTTCTAGAAAGTAACACCCCAGGCAACAAAACTAGATTCCTGTAAATAATTCACGCCAGATGTTTATGGTCGAAATAAGATGCGAATCCCGCCAGCACCAGTACTCATCTTACGAACATCAATAAATCGATGCAATAAATGAACAGGACGGCGCCAATATTGCGCTTGTGATTTATATATGCATGCTGGCCATTGTGCAGTTCCCTGGCAAGCCGCATATTAACCTTAGTATGACGCAGTACCGGAGGAGACGCTCATCACATACAAGCTTCACGTGTTTCGCGATCATTTACAGCACTTATTACACCATTTAAAGCTAGGGAAGCTAACTGTACTATAGAGCCTTGGTAGTGAGCCTTTGTCTAAGACTCCTTTTCAACCAACTCCTTTTTCTCACCTCTATTATTTTTAGGGACATCTCATCCTAAAGTCCACTATTGCCTGATCCACAATCGTTTTTTACGTTTCCAGTCAGTGACAGACATCACTGAAACTTGCCTGCGGGTACCATGTGAAGTGTCACATATCCTCAGGTTTCGTGCAGAGGGATCATGACATCTTGGGCGTGTCGCCTTGCACGTGCCCACCGGGCTTCGAGAGATCCGCTCCGACTGATGTCCCTAACCCGACGCATCGCCTGTCCCGACGGCGCTGGTAGTCCCTGTCCCAACGGCGCTAGCAGGGCATCGGTCCCTGTCCCAACGGCGCAGGCAGAACACCGGTCCCTGTCCCAACGGCGCTAGCAGAGCATCGGACCCTGTCCCTACGGCGCTGGCAGAGCATCGGTCCCTGTCCCAACGGCGCTGGCAGACCATCGGACCCTGTCCCAACGGCGCTGGCAGAGCATCGGTCCCTGTCCCAACGGCGCTGGCAGAACATCGGTCCCTGTCCCAACGGCGCCTGCAGAGCATCGGTCCCTGCCCCAACGGCGCTAGCGGAGTACCGGGTCCTGTCCCAACGACGCTAGCAGAACATCGGTCCCTGTCCCAACGGCGCCTGCAGAGCATCGGACCCTGTCCCCATTGCGCTGGCAGAGTATTAGTCCCTGCCCCAACGGCGCTGGTAGAGCACCAGTCCCGAGACGCCGCTCCCGTACAGGCGATGAGACGACGCCAAGGCACCCGCGCAACAGCCACGGCCAGCAGGAGGAACGGCCGGTGTGGCCTCCCTTCAGGTCGGTGATAGCCAGCCTGGCCAGTGCGCATGCTTGCCAGAAGCAAGTGGACAGCCACAGCCCGTTAGTGACGCTCACATTTACAGTGCGAGTGATGGTGAGAGTGGTACAGTGGATTGAGCCAGCAAGAGGGTGAGTGAGGAGTGAAGGTGAGTGAGCTGAGTGTAGGCTGAGCAAGGATTTTTTTTGTGTACGGATCCGTGCATGCGTGGGCACGTGTGAGAGAGGAGGAGAGAGCGAGCAAAACGGCTTCGTCTAGCTTAGGTTACATGAAAAATGGAAATGCCGTTGAAAAGCGAAGCTAGGTGCTCTTGCAGGATGTGTTTATGCAGGGCTGATGTTAAAATTCCACTGTATGTTTCATTACCGGTCTCAGCTCTCTGGAGGCGTCTTCACTCCAGAAATGAGCGACTCTTCCGCAATAGACTGCTAAGAAATGGACGGAAACGATGTAACCCATACTGAGCTTAAAGTACGATTAATGTGGTTATAGCCCATGGTGCTGGTCAATATCTCGCAGCGTATGATGTTCTCCTTCACGCACCAATGTCACGGATACGGATGAATGGGACGCACCTAAATCGGGTTATAAA